TATATTTAGTTCTATTGCTTTAATCAAAAATGTTTGGTAACGTCTAATACAGTGAAGCAATAACAAACAAAAACAATCGTTTTATATATAGTGATATCAGAATTCCGATATGCTTATGATAAGTGTTCTGAAACTTACTAATATTATTTCTATATAATTAATATCAGGATTTCAATTAAGTTATTGAAATGCTGATATTAATTTTCAGTTAAATGAAATAATGCTGAAAGATTTATTTTAATTGTCCAATATAATTCTGAAAGGTATTCTATTCCTGCCAAATTTCTGTTTCATATCGGTAACATATCAGATTTAAATCTCATTATAATATCATGAACCTATCAGTTAACTTTTGTTTAATATCGGCTTTCCAATATTTATCCAGTATAGATTTATTTGACCTGTGAAATCTGAAAAAAATTTTAAGTTTTTTGAGAACATTAATTTATAATTTTATGTTCTTAAAAAAACTTTAATGTTCTTAATAAAGAACATAATTTTATTTATAAATGTTTTTTGTTAAAAATATAAAACTTAAAATAAACTTTAAAATAGTTATTTATTATAATTTTAATATAAATAATAAATCAAATACAGTATAAAATATAAAATTTGAATAAAAAAGATATAAAATAATATATAAAACTAAGATTTATAATGAGAAGTACTAGTTCAAAACTCATAAGCATATTAAAAATTAAATTTATAAATAGGTGGACCATTAACTTTAATCATTAAAAAGTAATTTAGAGTATCATTATGTATTCGATTACGAATTTTTGTTTTAATTAAATTTTGGTGTGAAAAAATTCGTTCAGTAAATGCATTTGAAAGAGGTAATGTTAAAAAAATAGAAACAATTTTTAAAGAATTAGGATAAAGTATTAAAAAATTAGGAGTATTAAAAGTTTAAGCCAAGCTTCATATGGTTTTAAACAAGAATAATCAATTAGCAAAATTCGAATATATTTCCATTCTTGTATTAAATTATTAGCTTTAATAAATGCCAAATAACTAATTCCTATAAATATAGTTTAATATTATTAAAAGTTTAAATTTATTAAATTAATTAATATTTACCTTTAATATTTTTACTTATTCTATAAAATTTCACAATTGTTGTAATTTCTTTATCTTCATATTCATTTAATGATGTTGATCCTGAAAAGTTACATGGATCAAAAATATAAAATGCATTTAATATTTCATGATCAGGAAAACGTATTTGGAGATTTTTAATTGTTGCTCAAGCAAATTGCTGTATATGAAATAGAATATAATTTGATATAATATTTTCTTTTTCTAAAAATTGATATAAATGATTTCCCCATGTTGATTCTTGTCCATTTGCTTCTAAAAAATCTGATGTAATTTTTTGAATAACTGTATTAAGTTGAATTTTAATCTCATATAATGATATATAATCTGATTGAAAAATAAGTGTTAAACATTGAAGATCATTAAGAATATCAGCTAAAAAATATGTTGTAAGAAGAAAATTTTGATCTATCATATTATATAATGTATGTGCAGTTGTTGATATTTCATAATCTTCATAAAGAGCTTGAATAACAGAATTAATTATATGATGAAGATTAGAAACAACATTAGATAATGAAAGCTATTTTGTAGTTATAATTTTTAATAAATGAAGTTCAGGTTTTTCTAAATTCTTTTCTACCATTTTTAAATGTGCCATTCTTATATAAGATTTGCTAAAATAACTATAAAGATTTCTAACAATGTTATTATAATTACTCAAATATGGAATACTAGCTGCAGCATCTTCACTCGCTAATGCTAAATGATGAGAAATACAGTGAATCTCAATAAGATAAGGATTTTGTTGCTTTAGTTGTGCAGCTACACTATTATTACATCCTTACAAATTAGATATAAAAATATAAATTATTTTAAAAATATGATATAATAATTTTAGTATTTGGGTTTGAATTAAAATCCTGAATTATTATTTTATATAATAATATTGCAACACATAAAGTGTCAATTAAAATTTCAAGATTTTAACTCAAACTCTTAGTATTCAAAACTAAAATATTTAAATTAGAATTACAAAAATTATTTAAAATTTTTTGCAAGTTTAATTTAAGAATTAGTTATATAGATAACTATATAATATAACTACCTAACATTATGGATGCTCCATCACTTCCCATATTTATTAAACGATTAATTGGTAAATTTTTCGCATATATAAAAATATTTAATTCTTTAACAATAGCATTAGCTGTTTCTTTTGTAAGCTCAATCATACCTAAATAACGATAAACTGGTACATTTTTTGAAATATGTTTAGAAATAATTGCAAGATTTTTGCTTGCTATAATTGTATTACTTTTATTGATCATAATACTTCAAACAGGTGATTTTCGAATTCTTGACATATAACTTCTTCAATAACTCTTCCAATAGCATCAATAAAATTTCTAGCTGCATGATTATTAGAATAACTTCTATAATCAGCACAAGATTTTATTTCTAATGATTCTAATAATGGATGATTAAGTATATAAGAAGAACATAACTCTGTAGTATCATATTCAGTATGAAATTCAATAAGAGAAGTAAGCTTAGTAATTTTAGATGTTGCGACAATATTTTTAGCTAGCCAATATGTATTAATTAAACTTCAAATTACAGATGATTTGTTGGTTCTAAGATTCTGAGTAAAACTTACTTCAAGACTTAATTGTAGTTTTTCTTATTTTTTAATTAATTGTTGATGATCTTTAGTTTCTATATGTCATTTAATTGATTGCTCTTTAAGATATTCACAACCAGTAACAAAATTGTTATGAAATTGTGCTGTTTTACAAAGCTTACAAAACAAAGCAGACCTATCTTCCTTTTTACCTAAATATAACCAAGGATATGTTATTTTTCAAGTAGGATTCTACTTACAATTATCTTTTGTAAGATGTGCATGTTTTGTTTTCCGTTCTTCTTTATTATTATCTTGAAAGCTAATATCAAGATCAGTTGCATTATTAGTATCTAAACTAATATTATCATCTGAAATTGTATTATCCAAAATTTCATAATCTAAAGTTATATTATTCAAATTATCTGATACTAAACTTTCACTTTGTTGAGCATTTAAGATATCAATTCTCTTTTCATAAATACTTTTAGCGATAGTAAAAGGATTTTGTAGTAGATTAGATATATGATTTTTTTCTTTTTTTGAAAAGGTTAACTTTTTTGAACTCATATTAATGTTATTAGTGGAAAGAAAAATTAACTTTTAAATAAATAATATTGATATATATTTTTTTTACTCATTTTATATTAAATTTAATATATCTATTTTTTTTTAAGAATAGTACCTATTGTAATTTCAAGTATTAACGAATAAATTAAGATGGGGGTGTGGCAACTTAGTGAAGTGGTCAGGTTGTCAACCTCCAAGTGGCAGGTCCAGAGTTCAAATCTCAGTGTCAATGGAAAATTTGAAAATCCTCCCTGTGTTATGATTAACTGTCTCTCACAATTGGTTAGGATAAGATACCTGTAATCTGTGTCACACCGGCATAACTGGCAGGTCACATGGCATTTGTGTAACAGTCACCTGACATTGTTCTTTGGGAC